TGTATGTTTGAATATACTTGAATGGGTCTTAATACTCAAAACTGCATTAACCGATTTTGAAACGTTTTCTTCAAAATTTATCTTGCATAAGAAATAACTGTCAATTGCTGCTATTTTTTTTAAATAAACTTAAAAAAATTAATTGTTTGAATAAACTTTGAAATAAACAACTAAAATAAATGAAAATATTCAATGACTTGAATAGCTGAAGATATAATTATATATAAGTCTCCAATCCATTAAAGAATAAAATATAGTACATAAAATAGTAAATTAGGTTTACAAGATATAAGGTAAATAAATACTAGATCAAGGGGCTATACCGTGTTATCTCTGTAAAAATATACCTATGAAAGTTATATTTTCAATTGATTGAAAAATGTAGTTATTATTTCGTAAAATTCCTTTAAAATTAAAAATATAACATTGTATCTGTTTGCATGATGACTGTCCCTTTTAACCCAGCCTATGAGCTAAACAGGACCAGGTGACAAGTTTTTGAAAGACAGCAAAAAAAAAACTACAATTATGAATTAGTTGGGAGTTTTAATGAACATAGTCAGATAGTTGTCTGCTTGATGTGTATTATGAATTGTGATATAGTCGGTTTGGTTTTCACAATATGATTGCTCAGAGTCAAGTTGGACCTTTGTGCCCCGCCCTACACTATTAATCTTTTCAGCGGGTGCGACGCTGCTCTACGAGCCAGTAAGCTGCTCGATACACTAAATAGTTTCAGATTCTTTAATCAATATCGATAAAATGTATTTAAAAATTAAAAATTACTATTCTAAAAATCTAAAAACCACAATAACAAATAAATAAATAAATATTGAAGCAAAAATCACAGGTCGTCAAGCGGATATTGTCCATGCGATGACCATAACAAAGTGTTAACTATGCTTATTTTCAATTGGTATGGGTTGAATTAGCTCGCTTACTGAAAAAAATCTTTATTGCAACCTGGTTTTTAATAGCTGCAGAATAAAGCGAATTAAAAAGTGAGGATCTGTTTAAATCCTTTTGCTTATTTACATATAGAGCAGAAATGAAATCTCTTGTTGAATCAGGCAGAGTAAGTTGAATTTATATAATTTCTAGCGCTACCCTCACTGATTAGTAGTTACATTTAGAATACCACTTTGAATATTATCTTGTGCGTGATTTATTGTGAACCCATTCATATTTTTTTTTATTATTTACTATCTGCCATTCGAGTCGGAAATGAAGGCTTATCAGTGGGCTATCGCCGACATGAAGGAGACGCGTGCCTTGCATCACGTACCCGCCGTTACAACTGTCTGACCCCTACGATCATTATGAAACTTTTTGTTTAGACGAGAAATCCTTTTTCTTCGAGCGTCGATCTTATCTCTTTGTGGTGATTAATTTTATAACTTTTCCATAATGTTATTTTGTTTTCATATATTTATACAACAATCGCTTATCGGCATTTCTTTTTTTAAAACTATAATTCTAATTCGATTATTGAAAGTAAATATGCATACATTAGTGTTATCTAATCAAGATTTGCTAATGAAAATGTTCTGAATTCATTAGTAATTAAATTCAATTGATTACTATTTTGCTATCAATTAACTATCATATTTCGAGGTTTATTTATTAATTAAGATTTTTCATTTATTTTTCTTATACATTTACTTTGCGTTTATTATTGTTTATTATAGAGTTTTATGTTGAAATTTAATTTCATATTAGAATATATTTTTATTTATAAATAAGTCAGTATATGAACAAATATTAATGCTTTTTTATATATATTTAGTGTTAATTCCTAATTCCTAATTTCAGAATTATTCATTTTCTAAAAAAGTGCAATGTTACAACTTACCCCGTGTATGGGTCTAGTTGTAACGTCTACCAAGGCAAGTAGTAACGACGAAAATTTAAGAAAATTTACTTGTTTCAGAGTAATTCTTTTCATAAATCAACGCAAACTAAAATTAAAACTAGCTGTAAGTGGAATTCTGTCTTGAGGCAATTATGGCATCGTGCCTTAAGGCAAATTGCTGGAACTCCCCGTACCGTAACAAAATGTTCGAGGAATACTGAATGTTTTCAAATAGATTATTATTAATATTGTAACATTGTCAAATATTTATAAGAATTATATAAACTGAATTGCAAAGTTGAAATTATTTGTTTAAAGTATATTAGAACTATAGTCAGAATTAAAAATAAAATCTGAATTATTTTCGAAAACTAAAAAACTAAAAAAAAAAAAAAAAAAAAAATGGAACAAATTTTTTTTCCAAAATCAATTATTTTGTTAAGACAAGCAAAAAGTTCTTTGAATCATTTAAATCGGACGCTTAGTTCTCTCAAAAACTGCCATTTTTTACATATTTAGCTCCGTATCTTCGAAATGACTGGGCCTGCCTTTGCCAAAAACTAATAAGCACTTCTCCCAATCATTACTAATTGAATGTTTTTTAGATCATTCAAATCGGATACTCCGTGCTCTCAAAAATTCGATTTCTATTTTCTGCACTTTTTGCTCCGTATCTCCGAAACGGCTGGACCTGCCTTTGCCAAAAATTAATCAGCTCTTTTTCCTATCAATAGGAATCGAATGTTTTTTGAACCATTCAAATCGGTTGATCCGTGCGCCCTAAAACGTGACTGGAAATTTGTATCCATACATACATACACACACACACACACACATACACACATCCATTTTTTCTGAGGTATGCCAAAACGTTCAGAAACCTTCAAAACGTCGAGAAATGTTAAAATTTTCAATTCTGATTTTCGGCCCATTACAATAACTTACCTTACGGGAAGTTAACAAATAACAAATAAAAGATATAATGTCTCCTGTAATATTTTTTTTTATTATAAATTAACAAAAACTACAATTAATATCATATCAACTACAACAAGGAAGTACAGGTAATTTAAGCCCAATAAAGAAGTCACAGCTAACTTAAGTCCAATAAGGAAGTCACAGCTAATTTAAGCCCAAATCCCGAATGTATTTATTATGACACAAGACATAAATTTGTAAAAGGTCCCACATTGAAATTGGCTTCCTCATTTAATACCTTAGATCAGTGATAACCAACCTTTTTTGGACCCCGCCCCACCTTGAGATTTATAAATACGTTATGCCCCCCATACAATTTTTTTTTGTTTCTGAAAAAATGTGAATGATAACTTTTAAGATGAAATTGCTATTAAATTGTTATTAAACTTCATAAGTAAAATTTCGGAATAAGAAAGCTTCAAACGGAAATTTCAAACTATTTTTATTACTGTTTTTTTCTAAATTTATTTAATGCAATACTTAAGCTAAAATAAAGATTTTATATCAGGTTCTAGCTTATTAAGTTTTTTCTTTTTTTCAATAAATTTAATAAGCAAAATTTTGTACGTATGATCACATTTGGGCATTTGGTTTCAGTTTCTTCATAAAGCCATTTCTTAACGAATCTACTTAGCTAGTTGACATTTTCTTAACTCCGAACGGAATAATATCTTATTTTTATATATTTTTTGTTTAATCTTTTTTAGTTATCAGATTGGCAACTAAGTAAGTGCGCATATTTTTATAGAAATTGGTAGTTATCGTTAGCAACTAAGTAAGTGCGCATTTTGGTTAGAAAATCAAAGACAATTTTTGCGTGGAATTAAATAACTTTGTTCTGTATACCATGATGACCTTTTGTTACTTTCCAAGAAGCATCATTATCCCAAGTTTATAAAACTTCTAGTTTTTATTAGCTAAAACTGAATTAGGCACAATTTGACACCATCATTATTTTTTTCTAAATTCAAGGGTTTTAAATCAGATGGTTTGTAGTCAGGAATATTTGGTGCATGTGGGAAAAAATTTCAACCAACCCCCAATAATTTTTAAACATATCCAAATTGTTTCTATTAGCCGAATCGATTATTGCTTTAATTAGATTGTCCAAAATTTTATCTGGATAATCACGGCAGCATTGAGTGGAAAATCACCAGAAAGACATTTTCAAAACTATTTTTAACATAACTGGTTTTTAAGGCTTTGACACCATAAACAGCATCTATTCTTTGGGAGGATCGTTTTACCCTTTGCAGAAATAAAAATGCAAAATTTAACTAAAATGTTTGTTTTGATATTCCATCTTTCAACAAACTCTCTACATAACCGACTAAAAAGTATTTTCTACTAATCGGCAGCTAAATTTCTAAATACAATACTGCCTCAACCTCAACAAACCTAAGAATCATTTGAAGCAATCTAACAATAAGAGTAAAAGCCGCACTTAGTGTCAACCTTGTACCATTTAAGGATACAATAAAAATTAGTTTGTTTTAAATTAATTCCATCTTTAGCCATAGTTACTGACAGTGAGTAAAAAACTCACGTCATATTACAATTTTTCCGCTTTTAAAGCCTTGTATAAAACTCTGTTCGCATAAAGCTTCGCAATTAGCTTTAGTATTAAATATTACTTTTCTGTGCATATTTCAGGTCGAGTCTTGTCACTGACCTTGAAGCATTTATGCTAAGCAGTCAGAAACCTATTTTTTTTGTTAATTTTCGTAAATTGAAATATAGAAGTTTAAAATAGTTAGTGAAGGCTGAAGGGCTACTGAAAGCCAAAGAATTGTTGCATTCCGCAACATTCTCTTTCATAATGTTTTTGTTAGATTTATATAAAGTTTATTGCATATATAATTATCAGATTAAAATGGGTAGTTGTAATTTTATTATAAAGTAATGAGAAAAATCAAATTCAAGCTAATTTTCTTAAAAAGTCAAGTCAACCCGGCAGAAAAAACATAACTTCGGCACCAGGAAAGCAAGGTTGAAAACTAAAACCGTCGCGGTCAAACCGGGACACCTTATTATTCTAAATCTAAGAGCATTTTTTGTTAAATGTTTTGCCGATACTACAGTACATTAAAATCACCAAAATTTTCAAATTGCCCCCCGGTGGGGCGTGCGCCCCACGTTGGGAAACACTGCCTTAGATGGTCTGGGCATAATGCTTTACAATAAGCTGCCACTAGGTATTAGAGAAGTTGGAAATAGGAAATTTTATAAACTACTCAACACATTTTTTAAAGAACAAGTGTTTTACTCTATTGATGAGTATTGTGTTATAACTTTCAGTAAATTATTCTGTGAAAATTAGAATAAGGTTTTAAGTGAACATTTGTTTTTTTAAATTATATTGCATTTTGATATTGTATGTATTATTATCTATTAATTTAAGTTATGTACCATATAATATTTATAATTGTACAATTGTGTTGTATAAATATAAATATAACTAGCTGTAAGTGGAATTCTGTCTTGAGGCATTTATGGCATCGTGCCTTAAGGCAAATTGCTGGAACTTCCCGTACCGAAATGTTCGAGGAATACTGAATGTTTTCAAATAGATTATTATAAATATTGTAACATTGTCTAATATTTATGAGAATTATATAAACTGAATTGCAGAGTTGAAAATATTTGTAAAGTATATTAGAACTATAGCCAGAATTAAAAATAAAATCTGAAATATTTTTGATAAAACTAAAAAAAAAAAAAAAAAAAAAAAAAAAAAAAAAATTGAACAAAATTTTTTTTCCAAAATCAATTATTTTGTTAAGACAAGCAGAAAGTTCTTTGAATCATTTAAATCGGACGCTTAGTTCTCTCAAAAACTGCCATTTTTTACATATTTAGCTCCATATCTTCGAAATGGCTGGGCCTGCCTTTGCCAAAAACTAATAAGCACTTCTCCCAATCATTACTAATTGAATGCTTTTTAGATCATTCAAATCAGATACTCCGTTCTCTCAAAAATTCGATTTCTATTTTCTGCACTCTTTGCTCCGTATCTCCGAAACGGCTGGACCTGCCTTTGCCAAAAACTAATCAGCTCTTTTCCCTATCAATAGGAATCGAATGTTTTTTGAACCATTCAAATCGGTTGATCCGTGCGCCCTAAAACGTGACTGGAAATTTGTATCCATACATACATACACACACACACACACACACACACACACACACACACACACACACACACATCCATTTTTTCTGAGGTATGCCAAAACGTTCAAAAACCTTCAAAACGTCGAGAAATGTTAAAATTTTCAATTCCGATTTTCGGCCCATTACAATAACTTACCCTACGGGAAGTTAAAAATATTAAAAATAAATAAATAAATAAATAAAAGATATAGTGGCTCATGTAACACTACATATTCCCACATCTTACAAACCATAAATTGCACCCAATCTTCCTCACTTGGATCTGTATAACTGTATATAATTCTTGTATGTTACAACTAGCCCCAAGATTTTGTTTCAATTAACCCCAGGTGTGATTTTATACATTATTCAAGATAACTATTTAAACAACTTAGCAATCACAAATTTGCTATACATTATCAACGATTGATAAATTTGAAATACAATAAGATATTTAAAATTAGTCGATATATAACGAAAACCAAAATTTTGCAATAGATCAATTTTATATTACATGTCAAAAATGACCTGCACGGTTCTATTTATTGCGTCGGCCTGCGGGACAGTAGCTATAATAAATTATTTTAATATCGTTAACAATCCTATTGAAAAACGCCTGATACGGGGCAAAAAAGCCAAAATGGTGATTCAGTTTTTGAATTTGATTTTTTATTGATTGACTAAACGAAGAACTGTTTAAATTTTTGGAAAAGCAGGTCCAGCAAAAGGGTGAAAAAATGCCATTTGCCGGTCAAAAATGATCACTAGATATATGCACATCAAATTATCAGATATTTTATAGAGATTTTAATAATGTGCATACTTTTTGTGTTACCAAGATTTTTAATTTTAAAGTTCACTTTATATGGTTTAAACAAATGACTTCAACATTTTCGACAGTATCGAATAACCGATTTGAATGATTGAAAAGCATTCGGTTCGGGCTCGATCGCGAAGCGTTTTTGTAAAAGGCACGTCTAGTCGTTTCGGAGACATGTAAATGGTGTAAAAATGGTTATGTAGTTTTTAAGAGAAAGGATCATCCGATTAGATTAATTCAAACACTTTGCTTGTGTAGACGGTGTGAAAAAAATGCTTTTACAGAAAATTTCTTAATTTTAAAAATTTTCAAAAAAAAATCGAAATTTTCAAAAAAAATTAACTTTTCGAAATTTTTCATGATATTCAAAAAAATATTAAAATTTTGAAAATTTTCAAAAAATATCAAAATTTAAATTAAAAATCAATTTACGAAATTCAAAAAAAAAATCGAATATTTTCAAAGATTTCCAATTTCCGCACAAGTTGTTTGTAGAATACGTTCGTCGCCCAATTTAATAAGCACATATAAATTTACAGTATTTATGATAAATAATCTATTTGAAAATATATAAAACAATTGTAATTACTTATTGAAAAATTTCATTGATTGTTATGTCAATTATGATACGGAAAGTTCTAGCAATTTGCCTTAGGGCACGATGCCATGCATCACTAGTTTTTCTAAATTATATGAAAAACACTTTGAAAATTGGCGCACGTTTTTTCTATTATGAGTCATTACTATAATTTACTAATATTTTGTACAATATCTTTTTGGGTCTGAGAAAATTGTAGAGAAAATGGCGAATTTGTAGGTGAAACACAGTTTATTTATAGATGAAAAAGTGAGATTTCACCAGCGCTTTCTTTTATTTCCTTTTCCGTATTTGTGGTAGTTTGGTGTTAGTTTATTATTTAATATCATTACCTGAAGCAAGCTTGACGTTATCCTGAAATACCAGCTTTTTATTTTGCGATGATTTATTTTATTTAAGAAACGTACTGTGTTTTGTTCAAACATTCGTTGTTAATGGCAATTTATTATAAATATAATTATTGTTAGATTATTTTATATGATAATTTCAGATCATCCCGATACCGTGATTGCAAATAATAATTCGCGAGGTTGGAGCGCTGGAGGTCTCAGACTGAGTGTATTGGAACCCTATAGAAAATGGAGGGTCACTTTCAATGGTCTTTTAAGAAGTGGACAAGCGAAGTTTTGGGGAGACGAGAGTTCGGAAGTAGTGCATGTCCGTTTCAACTTCATGTGAGTAAGCTTTTTGCTGAGATATTTGTGAACATGTTGTGCAGTTTTTAACTTTTCGTAGGGTTAGTTATAGTAATTTCAAAAAAATCCAAAATGAAAATTTTTGCATATCTTCACGTTTCAAGGTCTTCTGAATGTTCTGGCATACCTTAGAAAAAGTGGATGTATGTATGTAGATACAGTTTTTCGTCGACGACGTCAAGAATATTGATCAACCGAATGATTAAAAAAACATTCGATTTCTATTGACAGGAAGATGTGGTAATTAGTTTGTGGCAAAGGCAGGACCAGCAGTTTTGAAGATGAGGGCGAATTTTAAATTTAATTAATTCATTGTATGACAACATTTTCTAATAAACACTGACAAATGACTAATATACGATCACTAAATTATTTAATTATGGTAAATATTTTATAATGTAGATGGACAGCCGCGTCTACGCCAATGTCGTGGCCGCACGACTGGAGTCCTCAGCTATTTGCTGATGCCATTGCTAGGGAACCCTGGAAAGATGGAAACTGGTTGAACATGATGTACGTTTTTAAATTTATTTTTATTTGAAAATTATTTACAAAAAACTATATTACGCAATAGACTTTTCAATTAAGCATACTAACTTTCAAAAATGAGAAAGTTTCTATGTCTGCTTTTATTAACTAAAAACTTGTTACTTGTTATTACATTTTTTTTCAATTTGTTTCATGAATTATCTAATAGATCCAGACATCCAACTGGAGGATATGACCAGTTCGGATGCTTAAGTGGAACTTTCGAGGCCAGTGATTCTTACTCGGTAGACATTTCGTTGCCTGGTGTAAGAGCTAGAAGATGGGGACCTCACAAAGCATCTTACATGCATCGAACTGCTTCTTTTGTTGGAGTTTTTGGAGATGGAAGGATATTCCTGGTCGAAGCCAATTCCGCGTTGCATGCACTTACACAGTATGTCGTAATTTAATTCAAACTCTCTATGAGGCATTATTTACTACAATTGTCCATTACATGTTTTAGTTACGTATACGGAATTGTCAGAATGCCCAATGGTGAAGTTCATCCAGTAGACTATTGTGATTTGAGTCTACTTCATATTGCTGAAGACAGAACTAATATACCTAAAAAGTATACTTTAAATTTTCGTGGTACGTAGTATCACTATTTTTATCATATAAAGGTTTTTAAGATCAACAAACATATTGCATTTTATAGTTGATGGAATTTATTTCAATAACTCACTTGAGTTGCAAGTTGGGGATCAAGCTCGCGTTTTTGGTGGCCGCCCTTGGGAATGGGAAGCGTCATTAGTCCCCTTGAATTGCCAACAAGGGGGATCTTCTGGTGTTGGAATTGCACAGTTATGGTATCAATATCAAGGAGAGTGTCCAGTTCCCAATACACCTCGGTAATTCACATGCAAAAACATTATTCAAGCAGAAACTACAATAATCATTGAATTATAGTTTTAAACATTTGATTGATATTTTAGTGTACGACATCTGGTGCCAACGACCATAATTCCAGCATTACCACCTCTTATATTAGATCTCAAAGAACATGCGGCTCGCTGCGTTTCACTGGTTGGTGGTAAAGCAGCATCGTTGGCTCTTTTAGGAAGCGTACAAACTAACGATTATAATGTGCCTGAAGGAATTTGTTTAACAGTTAATGCCTTAAATATTCAATTAGAACATTACGATCACTTAAGTAAAGCTGTAGAACGAATACAAAATGTCAGTTGTGGAATAGTTGCTGGTGATCTGGAAGATGTTTGCAAAAAGTAAGTACAATTATATAGTTATTTTATCAGTAATTTGAATAATTTATTTACATCATATTTTGCTAAGGGCTGTAATTGCGCTACAAACCGCCCAGATTGTAGATTCTATACAAGAACAGTTACACAAATCTCTTGTGGAATTGCGGAAACGTTCGCCAACAAACGCTCGTTTTGCTGTTCGTTCTTCAGCCATTTGTGAAGATTCTGATGAATTATCTGCTGCAGGACAATGCGAATCTACTTTAGGATGCTTGACGGATTTAGATATTGCAGATGCAGTCAAGCAATGTTGGGCATCCTTATTTGCCTATAGAAGCGTGCATTACCGAAGGTAAATAATAAATACTAAATATTTTGAATACGAAATATATTTAGGTCCAGTATGTTATCACTAATTAAAATAAATAAAATAATTTAAACTATATAATTATTTGTTTAATAGACATTATGGTCAGGTGATAAACTGTGGAATGGGCGTCGTAATTCAAGTTATGGTTCCTGCTGAAAAAGCTGGTATTATGTTTACCAGACATCCAGTTAGTGGTGATCCAAGTCAAATATACATTACTGCCAATTATGGCCTTGGCGTGGTAAGTAATAAATTTGTTTGTCGATAAATTATGAACTATAAATTATAAAGATAATTACTAAATATTTAGAGTGTGTCGTCTGGAGATGTAGAACCTGATACCATAATCATTCGTCGCGATTGGCATGATCGCGTCGAATTTGGTTCCGCAATGCGCGGTGATAAGTCACACGTAGTTATCATGAAGGAAAATCAATCAGAAAATAACGAAGAATGTAATAAATCAAACGGCATAGAAACACGACCACTAACCGAAGAAGAATCTCGGAGACAAGCGTGTTTAAGTCAAGATGAGGCCTTGCAATTAGCAGAATTGGGTGTTGTACTTGAATCACTTTATGGAGCTCCACGAGATGTCGAGTGGGCTATATGTGATAAGGTACTCATAATAGTATTTTGTATGCTTTATTTATTATTTAGAATTTTAAAGAAACAAGAACACATTTATTCATAATATTGTGACTTATACAGACGTTGTTACTTTATTTTATAAATTTTTAATTTTCAAGATAACATTTGATAGAATTATAAAATTGTATTTTAGGGTGTAATACATTTGCTGCAAGCTCGTCCCATTACGGCTACAGCACGATTTTCTGACCGCGAGCTTTTGCATGAACTAGATACTCCTACAATGACATCTGAAGAAGTGACATCATTTGGCGGTGCCGCCGAGACTTTCCCGGGGGTTGCAACGCCATTAACTCTAAGTGCTATTTTGCCGCGCCTCGATAGACCATTAGTCGTACTACGGCTAGGAAAACCTGCCGCTCGAGCCTTACATGCGATGGTAGTTTCGCATCATCGAGTATCTTCTAGTCCAGTTACGGTAATGATGTTTTGATCAAAACAATATTAACATTAACCTAATATTCCAACTTTTGACTTTTCTGATTTTAAGTTATTGAAATTGCAAGACAAAATAAGAGCATGTTTAAAAATAAATGTACTCCTATATATCAAGCATGTGTTTATTTTGCCACGCATTTGATTAATTGGCTGGAATGGTCTCTAAATGCTTAAAAAATATTTGATTTACATCAACAATTCGCATAGCATACATATTTGTTTTTGGGAAAGGCCAGTGGCGGATCCAGGGGGGGGGGTTACGGTGGTCATGACCCCCCCCCTGAGCCTGTTTTAGGACTTAGATAAAACACTAATTCAACAAACAAAAATACTTCATAATGATTTCATTTATGTATTTTGTTACCAAACACATTTTATAACTTGAATATTTAACTGATTGTAGACGAATGGCGGAGTCAAAAACCCTAAAATTTAAGGATTTTCTAATCGTATTGCGAATATATGTTTTATTACAGTTTAGGAAAATAAATTCATTCATCCGAAATTTCAAATTCGTTCATTCATTCAAATCAGATACTCCGTTCTCTCAAAAACTCGATTTGTATTTTCTGCACTCTTTACTCTGTATCTCCATAACTGCTGGACCTGTCTTTGCTAAAAACTAATCAGCACATCTCCCTATCAATAAGAATCGAATGTTTTTTGAACCATTCAAATCGGTTAATCCATGCGCCCGAAAACGTGGACGAAAAAATGCGGACATACAAAACACACACACACATCCATTTTTTCTGAGGTATACCAAAGTGTTTAGAAACCTTCAAAACGTTAGATTTTCAGCCTATTACTATAACTACCCCATGGGAAGTTAATAATGACTGATTTAGAGAAGTATACCTAATCGCTGTAAGCCATTTTGAAGAGAGAAACAATTGCAAATTGTTTAAAAAAATTGAGAGAAACAATTGCAAATACATAAATGAAAACGAACACATACGAAATACGAAGCCGAATACATACACACGGTGAATTTTTCAGTAATAATAATAGTTTAGTACGTTTATTTAGAGCAGAAACTCTATCGCCATGCAAAATTTCACTTAAATCGCCAAAACATGACAATCTATTATGAAAAAGAAACGACTTGACCGATCTTCGCCAGAAACCATTTTTTTTTAATTTCCATGATATTCAAAATTCCAAATGATATCAATCGAATAGTTTAAGCAAAAACGGTTAAAATTTTTTTACATAAACATGGACGATAATTTTTGCACTTTTCTGTCGATAGTAAAGAAACGGATCGACCAATTGTCTCAAAAAACTAATCAACGCAAGCGCTTATCCACTTTTATTTTATAGTTTTTAAATTTTAACATCGGTTCAGACGAGAAAACGTCGAGAAAAGGTCAAATTTTGGCCCACGTCAAAGACGCAGATTATTTTTAACTTCCCGAAGGAGAAGTTTATGTTTTCATCAAAAAATCCAATTCGCTAATTTTATGTTTTCTCGACGTTTCAAGCTCATTCTGAATCGAATGAGCCCAAATTTGGAAAAAATATGTGTGTGTGTATGTGTGCGTGTATGTGAACAGATTTTTTGCCGTAAATCGACATTTTCTCAAAAATGGTTCGACCGATTTAAAAAATTTAAAAGCCATTCGATATATCTCGATGAGGACTAGCGTTTCTGAGTTTTGTGCGACGATCGTCCAAGCCGTTTCTTTATAAATAGCAGAAAAGTGAAAATTTTTTCGTCCACGTTTTAGCCCGCAATTCTGAAAATTCAAAAACCGTTCGAAAGATATTGGTTGGGAATCGTGCTGATTAGTCTTTGGTAAAGATCGGCTGGGCCGTTTTCTTGTAATAAAATTTTTTAAAGGAAAATTTCGACGATTTTTATGTTTTTTTTTTACGGTAGAAATCATAGTCTTCTAGACCATACTAAAATATTACGGCCCTACCGTATAGCTTTAGAAATTCGTCAATTGGTATCGTTTTTTTGGTATTTGTCAAAATTAGACCTTTCATCGACGTTTGCTCCAAAACGCCTGAACCGATTTCAGAAATTTAAAAGCCATTCGATGTATCTCAATGAGCACTATAGTTTGTCAGTTTTGTGAGACGATCTGCCGAGCCGTTTCTTTGTAATTTGAAAAAGAGTGTTAAACTTTTCGTCCACATTTAAGCTCATTCTACCGAATCGATGTTGAAAAATCAAAAACTGTTCCAAAGATATTAGTTGGGAATAATACTGATTAGTTTTAGGTGAAAATCTACCAAGCCGTTTTCTTGTAATTAACTGTTGAAAAAAAAATTTAAGCCGATTTTTATGAAACTTTCTTTGGCGATGTATATCATGGTCTTATAGAACTTACTGAAATATTACGGCCTTACGACAAGTAGTTTAATTTTAAAAATTCATCAAAGATTGAGTAAATGAGTAGTTTTGTTGACGTTTGTTGGAATTAAAATTAGATGATTTACTTGGTATAACGATAGAGTACTTGGTTTTATTGAACATACTAAGCCGATTAAAGTCCTATGGAAACTGGTTCAATTATAAAAATTGTTGATTTTTTAAATTTTGCTTTTGGTATAACGATAGAGTACTTGGTTTTATTGAACATACTAAGCCGATTAAAGTTCTATGGAAACTGGTTCAATTATAAAAATTGTTGATTTTTTAAATTTAGCTTTTGGAAAATACTCCGAGTCAAAGTGTTCGTTCGTTTTCAATTATGTGTTATAAATCTACTCGGAATACTTTTAATCACTCATAAATTAATTTATATTTTATTGATTAAGTCGATTATTTACACATAACGGGAAGTTCATGTAACTTGCCTTAAGGCTAAATACCAATACCAACTAGTTAATTTATAAGGTTAGGCGGGTCTAATTTAACTTTGAGCAATTATATTGTGAAAACTAAACGAAAAACATAACAACCATTAAGACACATCAAAAAATCATCTGACTATGTTTTAGTACAACTTCCAGCTAATTCATCACTGTAAAAATGTTTTTTTTTTTGCTGTTTTTAAAAAAATTGTCACTTGGTCTTTTTTTACCCCATAGGCGGGGTAAAATCGGCGAGAGGACAAACAATCCAATTTACTATTTTTAATTTTAAAGGGATTTAATAAAATAATAGCTACATTATTCAACCAATAAAAAATATGAATTTTATAGATACATTTTTACAGGGATAACTCTGTAAATAACCTTGATTTGATATTTTGTCCAAAATATTCATCAGCAGAGTTGGAATAAATATTTATTTAATTTATCTCTTGTAAAAATGCTTTTTTTAACGTCGTAAGAATCAGGGTGATAGCTGGTTGTACATTTTTCCCTCTACTTTCAAATTTTGTTGTTAAGAAATCCTTAACTTTACTTGTTTTTGAGATATCGGTGGTGGACCTTCTTACCCGCGAATCTTTAAGCCCCGTTCTATCTAATATATATATATATATATATATATATATATATATATATAATAAATTTGTTACATACTCTTTGAGGACTATAAAAACTTTTCAATTATGACACCCCCTGACGCCGAAGCTGGATCCGCCACTGGTAAAGGCACGCCAACCCTTGTGCAATTATGATAGAAAAAAGCTAAAACAGCAAGTTGAAGCCAAAAATAGATATTTGACAAACTATCAGATAATTTAAAGACGTTTTATATAATATACTCGTATATAGTGTGTATACATTTTCATACTTAACTTTTAGTTACATATAAATAAATGAGAATTCTTTAAATACATACCTATAAGCTTTGCATTGAACTTTGAAGATATGAGATTTGCTCGAATCAAATTCAAATTTTATTTAGTCGTATAAAAAGTATAAACCATCTAAATATCTTAATTTAATAAATATTTAAAATTTGACCAATTGAACAAAGGACCAGTTTGACTTCGAACAATTGTACTGTGAAAACCAAATCAATTATATCACAATAAATAACACGTATAAACAAACAACTATCTCACTATGTTCAGTAAAACTCCCAGCTAATTCATCATTGTAGAAATGTGTTTTATTTGATATTTGCCCACCCACGTGTTAGTTTTTATAAAGGCTATATATAATTCACTGTTGAATCAAACATAAAATTAACAATACATCTTGTAACACAATTAAATAACGTATGCTTACAAATTATATTAAGGTCTCGTAAACTAAACAACGAGGCTCACAACCAAAAAAACTATCAATGAAAGAAAATACTTTCGTTATAGATTTTCAAACATTTCCAAGCAAGGTCATAAGAATTAAGGCGATGACTGGTTATCTCTTTTATCTCTTTTTTCCTTACTCACTTTCAAATATTGCTGTTAAAAAATTCCTAACTTTACTTGTTTTAGAGATATCGGTAGTAAACCTTTTTATCCGCGGGCCTTTAAGCCCCGCTCTGTACTACTTAATTTTCTTTTTTTTGCATATTCATTTGAATATGTTTTCCTTTACTGGTTGTTAAGCCGAAAATCTCAGTTAAGTATATGGAATAAACTTCTTCTGTATAAAGTTATGTTAAAACCAATTTATTGGATGTATGGAATACAGCTCTTGGGAACGGCATGCAAATCCAACATCGCCAAATTTTCTAGTTGAAATATATTTAAAAAAATATTGGCTTTCAAAACATTTTTGAAAATCCGGGACAATCCGGGACAAAACACCTGAAACGGGGACAAATATTGCTTTTAGAAAAAGCCGGGACGCAAGGCGGAAAATGTCCCGGTCAATCCGGAACATATGGTCACCTTACTATTACTACAATAAAATATACCTAATCAACAACGAAACGGATTACCACTGGGTGACCTTTCGACCTGTTTTCCTAATATAATTAACCATCAAAATTACTGAATGTTGTTTCCTGTTTATAACGACAGATTGTAATTCACGAAAGATTGTAATTCATAAGAAAAAAAGAATATGTTTTCAGATTTTAATCATGTAATATTTGTTCATAAAATGACAAGTTTCAGAAATTTATCTTAAGCAACTCTACAAATTTAAATTATATGTTTGCAGCATCTTATGACAAATTCACAAGATCCTGGCGGTATAAGTGATCTTAAAAGAGATCCGATGCATCTTGCGGTTTGCGGAGCACGTAGCACTAACCGAAACCACAGAAATAGTAAACAATCTATTCAAAATGATAATATAGATCGCTTGCGCCTACTTCTCGACGTTGTTAAGGTATTTATAAATTCTAAATCATCTATATGATTTCATTCCATTGTATTAATTTGCTCTCAATCTTCAAAGTCAACGTGGAATGTGAAGAAGCACGTGCAAGATCTACAAGCTTTTCTAGATGAATTCGAATTAGATCAAGATCGTTGCGAAACAGCCCTGGAATTGTATCAGAGAATTACTGACGATTTACCCCATTTGGGTTATGTCGCAATGCTACACTATAGATGTTCCGCTGTTAGTGTTATTAGTCACGTTATTGCTATGCTGATATTGACAGAAAAAAATAAAGGTAGGTATTATGTAATATTGTAATAAAAATAAAAATTTAGTACATTTGTTTTTGTATATTAATGTTTGTTAATAATATTTAATTTATAAAATCAACATTTTTGTGCCATTTATTGCAAGACGCTTTGAAAATTTTACCTTGTGCTATCGAACAATATGTCGAACTACTTTGAAATAAAAAACGAGAACCCGATGTAAATGGTTGAAAAAACATTCGATTCGTACTAACAATGAGTAGATCCAAAATTTCGGAGATTCGAAAGAAAAATGCAAAAATTGCCTTTGTAGAGTTTTTTACGGAATTTTATAATAATATTTGGGCAGTTTCAAAATACTTATTCTAATTGTAACCGAGCATTTCAACTAATATTATTATCAATATTTAAGCAAAACTTTTAAGTATTTAATTGAAGTGAGACTTCTAAATCTTATTGGGAAATTTGAAATTTTGGTATTGGTCCACTTAATAATTAATTCATTAATATTAAAATAAAAGAATTTAAAAATTAGACTAGAACTTTGTTGTTTTTAATACAATAATTGTTTTTCGATCAAATACAAAATTTTCAAAAATATTTAGAATGTTGCAACATTTTCAAAATAAATTTGAATTTTTTCTTCTATTGAACTATTTGCTTTGATTCAGTTCAACTTGGTTTTTATCCATTTTTCAATTTTATTTATTTTATATGTGCTCATAAAAAGGAAACTTCTAGCAATGTGCTTAGGCACAATGCCATTCATTGTTTTTATAAACTTTTTAATTAATATAACAGCTAAACTATAATGATTTTGATAGGGTCTAAAGCTAAAGGGAGAAAGACGAAGTTTGATTGTTCGAATAAGTTCCCATTATTGCTTTTAGTCAGTGCCTTACATTAACATGATCTGTAGACCGACTTACTTTTAGAGAGTTTAAAGTAAGTGCACATGTTCAAATTCTTTTAAAGATAACGGTTAATTATTACAGATTGATCACTTTGTTTGGTATTTTGCTGTATGTTGAACATCAGCAGTTATTTACCATTAGCATTAGTAGTTTTTGCTTTTAGATAATTTAGCTCAGTCATAATGATCATTTTGGCTTGAATGTTTACATTCAGATGTGCATCTTGATGCTGTACCTTCTAAATATTTTGCATTCTTACACTATTAACTTCCCGTAGGGTAAGTTATAGTAATCGCAAAAAAATTGAAAATAAATTTTTTATATATCTTTACCTTAGAAAAAATGGATGTATGTATGTGTGTGTGCGTGCGTGTGTGTGCGGATACAAATTTTCGTCGACGATTTCGGAAACCCCGATCAACCGATTTAAATAATTCAAAAAACATTCGATTCGTACTGATAAGGAGACGTGCTGATTAGTTTTTGGCGGAGGCAGGTCTAGCCGTTCCGATACGGGGCAAAAA